AATGTTGGGGCGAGGAGGAGTGACAGTTTGCAAAGCTTTATGGGGTGGTGATAATGGATGTGATTCTCACCTTTTGGAAAACTTAAGAACCAAAGTGGTACGGCCTGGTTTATGTTATGAAAAATATGACTGATTACTTGGCAGCTAGTGGTCTGTCAAAGGGAAATCCATCACTGTGGGCCAAGATTCTGCAGAGCAGGAGGTAGGAGCTCACTGATTTGGAAAGATATTTTTAGGAAAGCATCAGTAGGAATTTGTTCTTGAATCCTGATGAAAGACAGTAATCAAAACTTTTAAGATTCTGGGCCTGATGAAAATGATAGAATCAACGAGCTAAGATGAGGTACAGTAGGACAGGAACATCTATGGCTTTGAGGAAGAGGTTGCCCGGGAAGAGTTTCTTGGTATTTAAGCAGAGATACCAACAGGACAGTTAGCTACACTCTCTGAACTCTTGGGGAGGTCGCAACTTTGAATTCAAGTGCCATCTATCCACAGCAGGCACCAAAACCATCAGTTTAGATGAGATGATTAGGGGCCTGTGGAGAGCTGGAGAAGGAGTCTGTTCTTTGAGCATCTGGAATAATCCAACATGTCGGGGAAAACTCAACAAAGAGACTGAAAAGGCAGCCAGTGAGGGAGAGCACAGAAGATGTTTCATTCTAGAAGTTAAACTATGAATATCTCCATCTTTTAAAAAAGATTTGTACTGTATTTAATTTTTTTAAATTAATTTTATTGGCACATCTTAGGTATACATAATGACAGCATTCATCATGGGGAATTTGTACCTATACATGATGCATCTTGCTGCTTCTTTTATTCCCATTCCCTCCTCTCCCTCCAACTCTTTCTCTCCTTATTTACAAAATCTTTGCTTCCATTCTCCTTCTATTCTTTTTATTATCCATTCTGCCTTTTTTACTTCCCCCTACACCTCCCTTGCTCCCTTTGTGTCTGATCATTGTTGTCCTGCTTCCCAACATCTGTCATCCACTTTGATCCTTATTTACCCTTTAGGTTTCTCACACAAGAGAAACAATGTGATGTTTACACATGTGTGTCTGATTTATTTCACTTAAAAGTATGGTCTCAAACTGCATCCATTTACCTAGAAGTGTCTTGAGTTTACCTTTCTTTATGGTAGAGTAATATTTCGAAGCCACATCATCCTTGTCCATTCCTTGGTTAATGGTCATTTGGGTTGCTTCCAAGATTTAGTTATTACAAATCATGCTGCTATAAACATGCGTGCACATATATCACTGTGGTGTGATGATTTTACTTCTTTTCAGAAGATACCATGAAGGGGAATAGCTGGATCAAATGGAATAACCACACTTAGGGCATCTTTAATGAAGAGATCATTGATGGGTCCTGTTATAATTTTGACAGAGTTTTAAGATTATGGTAGGGAGTTAAAGAGGACATGGATGACAATAAGGAATTGAACATGTAAAGAAGAGTTAATGAAAATGCAGTTTTCCTAGATGTTTGGTAAAGCAAAATAAAATAATGCAACAGTACTATGAGTGGAACTCAGGGCAAGAGACAACCATTTCTTTTTAAGATGAAATATGGCGTTTTGTCTATGTTAAAGTTATTCAGGAAAAAGTATGGGAGCAATTGATATTGAAGAAGAAAGATAAAATTACTGGAGAAGCCGAGTCATTCAATTAACAAGTCATGAAGAAGCCTAGGTCAGAAGAGAAGAGCTGCCCTGAAAACAGGAGGAATCTTCCCTCACTGTCCAGGGCCCTGCGCACAGGAGGGCAGCAGATGGGTGCTTGGGCTGTGAGCCTGTTTTCCTTTGACGGCTTGGGCAGAGATGTAGGAAAGGAGATGGACAGTCCAGAAATGGACACGAGGGATCTTCCGAGATTTGAAGGGGTCAAATAAGATGTGAAATGATGTCTCAGAGAATGAGTAACTTTTTCTCTAAAGAAATGTTTATGACTGCCAGATTTTGTGAGTTTATGTGAACCAATGGTCATAATTCTTTTATTTTACTTAAGCAGAAACAATTTATTAGAAGATTCCAAAGAATTTCACGGACCCTTGAAGGGCGGAGAGAAGTGCAGGCAGGATTAGGAAACAGCCATCAGGAACTGCAATGCTCTCGGTCCTCTGTAGTCTGATCCGCCGAGGCAAGATGACGATTGCATTTTCTCTGCATGTAGCTTTCATTCTTCTCCCTCATCTTCCCTAAAGAAGAGTTCTATGAAAAAATCCCAGTTATAAATCCCTATTTAGAGGAACCTGAGTCAAGTGTGTCACCCTCAGCCCGGTTCAGTTAACTATGGCAAAGGGAACGGGCCGGGCACACAGCCATCTACTTAGCAGTGAGGGTCTTCCAGTGTTCAAGAGGCTATTTGGATCAAGATAAGTCTATTTGTAGCTCACTGTTAAAATTAGGCATTTTAAAACTTCCCTTAAATTTATAAACATAACTTAGAAATATTTCATTTAGAAAATGACTGCATTTTAATAAACACTTCCAAGGGAAGACTTAATTAATGTTTGGGTAAATGTTGAACAAACTAAATTTCTTCTATCAAATACATTTGAAAAAAATTAATAGCATTTATATTTATAAAATCTGATTCTTTCCAATAGCACTTAGATGGTCATAATCCTAAAGAGAGACAAGTGAGTGTTTCTCTGGCTATGTCCAGTTAGTGGCATGGGATGAGCAGGAAACTGGGCTTCAACATGGAAAGCTACCCAAGGTTGAGGTCATGCTCACAGAAGGGAGAACATAGAAGGCAGCAAGAAGGGAGCACAGTGAGGGGACATGAGATGGACACACAGAGGGAAGGACCAAGGACAGAAGGAGACCCTCAGGAAGGGGGTAACTGGGGCGACCTGGGAAATTAGTGATCTAGGTCCCAGTGTGGATCACAGAATATTGGAACAGTACTAAGTAAATCACAGAGACAGGTGGGAGGCGCTGTGCAGAGAGGCTGATGCTTGGCACAGGAGCCAGAGGGGTACAGGTGATGGCGTGGACACGTTTTGGATCGCCACTGGGAACCTTGGGGAGCACATAAGGGCTCAAGATCCTGATCTCGCCGATAATCAGAAGCTAGGGCAGAACCTACAGTTATCCGACTCCTACTGTCCATGCTCTCTCTTCACATTATCATTAACTCCCAATTATCTTTTAGCCCATCAAACTGTAACAACATACTAATATTCAACTGAAGATATGTAGGTTATCCGGTGGGGTCACAAATTTTGCTTCCTGGGCTAGACCTGTTCAATCAGACAAGCTCTGTAGTTAGAAGGGCCCTACGTTTTCATTCTCCCAGCACTCCACAGCCAGAGCCAACCCTGGAGACGAGGCCAGCGCTTCAGAAGTGCACTGTTTTTCCTCATTTGGGCTAATTTTGCATGAGCCTCACTTCTTTCTATTCAGGATGCCATTAAAAATTTTGCAAGAGGCACAATGGAATTCTGAAAGATGACATGAGCTGAATACTCGACTTTCTAGGCAAACTTCCTTTTAAAACCAGTCGTACTCAATAAATATGAGGCTGAAGATGAGAGATTTTCTGACTCGAGGAAGTGAAGAGGCATGAATTAAAAAGGAGATTAAATTAAAAATACAGTTCCAGAACCTTAATTCATACTTAAATGATGGCTTAGAGAAAAACACTTAAATTGTATTTATTATAAATATATAATGTTCATTATAAAATGTTTAGAAAATAAACATAGAGAAATTAAAAATTACTCAGAAATTGAATATAGGATACAGACACTTTAAAAATGTTTGTGTATGTCCAGCCAGGTTTAAATGTAGATATTTTATACATATATTTCATATGTATGACTTTGTGTTTATTAGATGTTTGGTTTTTTGTAGCTATTGTTTTGTTTTATCACACAGAGTTTACTTAGGTAGTCTAGACTGGCTTTAACTTACTACATAGCTCAGGTTGGCCTTGAACTCATGACTATCCTCTTGCCTCAGCCTCCCTAGTGCTGGAATTTAGGTGTGCATCCCCACCTCTGGGTTAGATTAGATTTGAAATTCTATTTTAAAAGTTAATTTCAAAATTTAAATTAATCTAGGTACATGCCCTATCCTTACAGTAAAATATTTTTCTAAAATATTATTTAAATATAGTCTACCATAAAGATAGATGGTAACATTATTGAGTACTATTTTCAGTCTTTATTGTATTGTTATAAGCAATAATAATTAGGAGCGTTTTTCATGGCCTTGTCTATTTCTACACGTACAGTTCATAGGTAACAATTGTGTCCATTTTCAACATTTCTGATCGACACAGAGAGATTGCCCTTCGAAAGTTGCAGTGGATTTCTAGGACCACCACTGGCATTCTTTTTAAATTTTATCAAGTAGAGAAAAAAGCTTATTTACTCATATTATCTTTCTTTGTTTCTCAATGAGGCTCAACAGCTTTTCTGACATTTATTGGCTTTGCTGTTGTGATGACCGTCCTGTGAATGCCTGCCGGCCTTTTTCTGAACATGGCTTCCGGCTTTCCTGTAGAGCATCTTAGAGCTCTGAGGCTCTGCTCCATGCTGCAGCGTTTCCTTTATCCACCAAGGGCTCCTGGAGTTCTTCCTGTATCTGCAGGGCTCTGTGGGCATCTGGGGGTGGGGTGGGGCTTCTTTCCCCAGGAGGGTGGTTTTAAACATTCATTGCTTTCTTTTAAAAAAATAAACCCACAGTAACTGTAGTTCTAGAGAACAAGTGCCTAGCCCACACACTAGCAATAAAAAGTTCAGGATAAAACATACAAACTCGTGGAACATTTGTTTTTTCCCATTCATTCCCCCAAATCGCGGGAAGGCAGTTTAAATATTGTGATTATTTGGTCTGTATTTTCACCCTAATATTTTCCCCATGAGTTCTGTAAAAATCCTCCAGGTGGTAACCTACAGTCGTGCAGTTTCTGAAGACAACCAGTGAGGACCTGAACTGTGGAGTGCGAAATTGGGGTTTGGAATTGTTAAATTTTTCTTACCCTCTCCAATGTAATTTCTTCAAATTCATATTCGATTTCAGTCCCATTGACCTGTAAATAGGCAAAAAGAGAGGAATGTTAAGTACATACTGAGGAGAAGATGCTGTATTTGAAAAATGCTGCAAGGTTCAGTTTTCATTCTATGAATGAATAAATCAAGCTTTCTCGGTTTCTGTGATTCCATGTTTCTATCCAAATGAAATATAATCCAAGCCAGCCTAAAATACCTGAGTGAGACATTACAAGAATAATGAAGGATTATTACACATCTTAGAATTTTGTGATTTTTTTCAGAAAGAGAGGCCAATACCAAGTATGTATGTTGAGTTTTCAAAGAACAAATAAGAGGCAATGTTTTAATTACAAAGGAAAAAATTTCCTAATACCTTTTAACTTTTATAAATACTAAAGTATGACCATCAACCTCAGTGATAATCTGCAACATAAGTATCTGACTTTTTAAATTTATCATTTTCTAGCAAAATAGCACTAAGAATAACAATGTCTATCCCCTGGCAATTAGAGACTAAGTTTTAAAAAATTATAAAACAATGTCTGGGAAGGGATATCTTTTTATTGGTTCAAGCTCAGCTAATTTATTACCACTGATCTTTTATTGCATTTTTTAGGAACCTGTGGACTGGGTAATCATGCTCACGGACTTCGGTAGCAATAAGAAAAAAAATGTATGCTTTTAAATTTCTAGTGAGGAGTTGGGTTAACCATCTAACCAAGTCTTGATTGATTTGAAGTTGCAGAATTTATTTAAACTAAATACATTTTAAACATAGTCAAGCACCTTAACTTGTAACAGGTGTGCACAGAGAATTATGGAAAGTTGTTTTAAAATAATCTAGCAAATATTCAATTTCCATTTTTATCTGTCACAGATTTCTTCTCTGCCAGATAACACCTGCGAGTGAGAGAAGTCTCAAATTGGCAATTTCTTTTTGTTTTTTTAATGTTTCTTGGCAACATCATTAGAATTTTAGAATAAGCCAGAGAGACACATTTTCAACGACCAAAACCCTAATTTTTGTAGGATGCTACATTTGGTTTATTTTCCATCTCAGAAGAAATTAAATTATACCCAGTACTTGTGGATTGTAGAAGCAACAGCCAGAAATCTAGCCCCACTGCCCAATATGGCACCCAGCAAAAAATACAGTGAAAGGAAAACAGTGATCAAGTGAATGGATGAATAAAGGAATGAAAATAGTAATTTATTTTATTATGAAATCCCGGGGACTTGTGCATTATCTTCCATAAGGAATGTGGAAGTAGTGCGGAATCAACTGCAGGTGAAATTACAGCTATATTCAGTATAAATACAGAATGACAATGACAACAGACAAATGTGTGTGCACCATTCGCTCAGAGCATGTTCTGCATTATGCAGTTACATTTGCTAATTGGCGAATCACACTTTATTATGTTTCTGCATTATCAAACAGCCCTAAGCTACATTTGATTTTCGGGGCTGCAGCAACTTGAAGAGTCTCTGAAAAAGATCTGATGACATCAGAAAGGCTCAGCAGCTTTGTGTGGAGTTTTGTTTGAGACATTAACAGTAAGAAAAAAGTACTCAAAGTATAGATGCATGCCTCCATCTGAATTTTTCTTGGTTAGTTTTTCCTACTTTCTTGACTGATGGAAGGAGGGCAACAAAGGAAGGGTGAGTTAGTGCACTCTGTTTCTCTGTTCTCAGTGGGCTGCACGTAGCTTTGCTTTGCTTCAGTGCTTCTTGAGAGCGAGGACCGTCACTTTATTAAAATACTGCAGACTAGGGGAAAAGCTTCAAAGGAAGAAAAACAAGCCTCTGATAATAAATATCCAAAGATGCCTGGTGAAATAAATTTTGTTAAGAAATGCTTAAGAGCTAAAATCTTTCAGTAGCATGAATTACATCATGCTGGCCTATCAAAACGTTTGCTTCACATTTCTGGGATCGGATATGCTGCTCTGACAGCCTAGAAGTGCTACACAAGCCTATCTTCGTCGGCATTTGCCTGTGCTGGTCAGGTATGTGCACTGTTGAGGGCTCACATATGTAACCTCATGGGCTGAACTCAGGACCTTGTGGTTGTGAGGTAGGCACTTAGGCCTCTGAGCCACATCCCTGGCCCCTGGGTCTTTGTTTTCAACCCAAGACAATAATTTCATTTGCCTACTTCATGTTGTCTAGGCTCTTTCCTAAGAGTACACAGTGCCTCCCCTGCTGAAACCTTGTTTTTAGGATAAAGCATCCCATGTCTACAAGAAGATGTAATGAAAACATTCAAGAACAGAAGATTTTTTTGTAGCACTTAAGCAACATTTCAATCTTTTTATTTTTATTTTTTTATTTTTTTTAACATTTCAATCTTAATTGATGAACATTTAAAATATGGACTCATAAGAGCTGGTGTGGGTGAAACGAGGGAGCCGCTGTGTTTATCTTCTCTTTAGGAGGAGGGCATGATCTGTGTTCTATGAATCCAAAGACAAGAAATCCTACAGGTTCTCTTAAGAGATTTGGATGGAAAAGCATGCCACAGAAGAGCTATTAATTTTTATTAATTATTCTCCATTCTGATAAGTAGTATATTAGTCTGGGCTTTGACATTTTTAGACATTGAGTGCCTTTGCAATCTAATGGATTCTACAATCTTCCTTCAATATCTTCCATAGTTACACATCCTTCAAGAATGATGAAGAAGCAACAAGTATTTACAATAGTTCACCTCAGTCATAATTTTATTGATCCTCATTGAGCAGTACCAAGACTGTGCTGTGAACAGACTCCATTTTCTTCTGAGGGAAGTTTATACACAAGTCGCTGTTACATGAAGTTGTCTTGGTGGTCTCATTGCAATCCCAATAAGTTTTTCAAAATGTCTTTCAATGAATGAAGCTATCTCCCTTACAAGAGGTTGGCTGGATGCACTGCTTTCACCAGACATAGTTGCTGTGACATTTAAGCACCCTGGTAACGGCTTGGGTTCCTGAACCCTGGGGTCCAGAAGGCTGCCTGACTGAGGTTTGCATTACTCCAGCTGCTGCTCTGATCAGCACTTGTATCTCCTTGGCCCCGTCGAAGATGAGAAAAGTGGGAAGACTGGCATTGTTTGAGACCGGATGAGGCGAGGGTGGGGAGCCATAAAATAAATGGAATTTTCCAGATTTGCAAAAATCTGTTTTTCTTTAGTTACTTAATTTTTCTGAACCTGATGGTTCTGCGGTGGCATCTGGTGGGTTTCTCTGATGGCCAGAAAATCGAACTGATGCCACACATTGTCCTGAGCTGTTCTGGGCATGTAGCCTGCCTGGCATCAGATGGCTGTTTGAGGAAGAGTGACCCCCACCCACTGCAATTCAAACCCAGTGTTTAAAGTTCTGATTTCACAGACTTTGGGTA